CGCCTCGCGGCTCTTCTTCTCGAGCTACTGTACATAGCCCTCGAAGAACGTTTCCAGTGCTCTCCACCTCGCGATGCTGCGCTTCTTCCGCGCCGCCTTGAGCATCGCCTTCAGGGTCGCCTCGCAGGCGCTGTTCTTTGAGGCCCCGCGCAGTTGCTGCTGGGCCGCCTTAATCTCCTTCGACGCGTCAGAGATCTCGTGCTGCGCTTCGCTCGTGTACCAGCCTCTCTGCCCTCGTGCTCACCTCGCCAGCGGCGCGGTCTCAGCAGCGGCCGACATCACCGTAGCCGTCAGCTCGGCGGCGGTCTCTCCCGTTGGCCGCCTGAGCGCCGTGGGCGGAGGGCGGCTGGAGGCCCTGTTTTGGAAGCCGACCCGTAGGTGTTTGTCCTTCCTCAACCGCTCGAGGTCGATACGGATCCGGCTGCTTCCGCTGTTCCCCCGCACTCGTCGGTTGGGTGCGACACGGGGGGGGAGGCGGACAGTCGTATGCAACAGGTTGTGGTCAGAGTCTTTGAAGTCGACACGTTTGACGGAGACATTGCGCACGAAACGCCGGTCCGCCTGACGCATGAGGATGAAGTCGAGGCGGTATTTCTCCTTTCCCTTGTTGGAGCTCTGGAATGTGTGCTGCACTCCACCTTTCGGTGTCCGGAAGTAGGTGTTGGTCAGGGAGAGTTGGTTGTCTGATGCCAGTCCAAGGTGTCGTTCCCCGTTGTTGTTCATAGTGTCCCGTCCGTACGCGCCCATAGTCTTGGCATCGCAGCACCCGTCTCGACTCCTACCAGTGCGTGCGTTGGCGTCCATTAGCACCACGAGATGGTCACGGCTGTGAACCTCCCGGATCGCTGCGTCGAGAGCAGTTCAGAAAGAGTCCTTGGCGTTAACATCACCGCCCGCGGTGGTGCGGACAGTTTCCGTGGGGGCGTACCCCACCACGAAAGTTACTCCGCAGGTGCGGCCAATTTGTAGACGCACCTTCATCAGCCTCGGGCTAATGCACTCCACCGTCCTACCTTCCTCGCCCACACTCTCCCACATGGCCTCCTTGATCGCTATGCACACACCATGTACGCCCCTCTTGTCGTTGGTGCCAGCACGGGCGCCACTCCAGATGATCACGTACCCGTCGTGTGTAATTGAACCTTGCCCCTCTCGTCGGGTCTCCTGAAGTCCTATCACATCACAGCCGGTCGCGGAACAAATCTGCATGAACGTCATCACGTTGTTACTGATGGGGTTCCTACCGCTGTAGGCGAGCGTGCGTACGTTAAACGTGCCGAACCAGAGGTCGCCCTCTCGTGCCTTCTTCTTCGCAGCCGCCTTGACGGCCGCTGCGGCCTCGTGTCTCTCTCTGTCCGCCTTGCGTTGCGGGTGTGCTTTCTTCCGTATGTTCCGAGCGGCGAGTTTCCTCGCATCAATCCGTCTCTGCAGAGCTTGGTTCTTGCCTGTGGTGTTTTGACGAGGAGGGTGCAGCACTCCCTCCCCGCGGTGCCCGCGGTTGTCTCCCTCCTCCCGCGAGCGGTTCTTGCTGACGTGGTGTTTACGAATCACTCTACTCCTCCAGCTTCGTGGGCCACGCTTTCCGCGACGGTGGTTGCCAGGTGCAGTTTGCNGTTGCGGGTGTGCTTTCTTCCGTATGTTCCGAGCGGCGAGTTTCCTCGCATCAATCCGTCTCTGCAGAGCTTGGTTCTTGCCTGTGGTGTTTTGACGAGGAGGGTGCAGCACTCCCTCCCCGCGGTGCCCGCGGTTGTCTCCCTCCTCCCGCGAGCGGTACTTACTGACGTGGTGTTCACGAATCTCTCTACTCGTCCAGCTTCGTGGGCCACGCTTTCCGCGACGGTGGTTGCCAGATGCAGTTTTGCATTACTGCCGCGGGAACAGGTCCATACACACCTCTCGTCACTACCACCGTCTGTGCATCTTCACCGCCACGCTGAGCCAGCCCGGCGGTGAGTTGCATCTTGGGACACCACACGCCTACTATCTGTTGTGGCCTGGTTCGCCCGCGAGGGACTCACTAGGTCGATATCTGGCCCGGCCGGGGAGCAGGCCGAGGGGGAAGGAGTGTGTGTGTATGGTATCATTACTGTTGTAAGGCGTAGAGGGGCACGGGA